AAACGGGAGCTGGAAGCATGTAAATATAATAATAACCACTGCAGCCAAGAAGAGTGCCTGACGAGCCCAGTTGTAAGTAAGTTATTAAAACTCGACTGTACGCTTTGTTCGCGTTTTCCTCCGAAACTTACTTAAGTTCTAAAGTTCCGTTGGAGCAGCCTTTCAACGCCTCTCTCTGTCTCTCGCAAGCAGAGTTGACCCACACAACAAAGTAAAGCTATTTTTCGGCTACGAGCCCGACACGGAACCGTATTAGTCAGAGGTCCCTTTACCACGGTTCGGAGCCGTGGACCTTCAGTAATAGTGATAAAAGTTGTAAAATGCATGATAATATGTTAAGTAATCCAAAGTATTCAGAATACGTTACTCTCATTGAGTAACGTAACGGAATACGTTACAGAATACATTTTAGGGCATGTATTCTGTAATGAAATACATTTTAAAAGTAACCTTCCCAACACTAACTATATGTATGTATGTATGTATGTGTATATGTGTGTATATATATATATATGTATATATATGTCTATAGACTATATAAGTCACTCATTAATAAATAGCTGGAAAAGACACATGTGTAGTTGTAGCAGTAACCAGTGTGTTAAGTGGATGCGTTGTACAGGGAGATGGCCACAGGCAGGAAAGATTTCCTGTGTTGTTCTGTGGTGCTTTTCGGTACTCTCAGTCTCTCACTGAACGTGCTCCTGTGACTGACCAGCATGTCATGGAGTGGGTGGGAGGTGTTATCCAACATTGTCTTTATTTTGGACAACATCCGCCTCTCTGACACCACCTTGAGGGAGTCCAGCTCCATCCCCACAACATTACTGGCCTTACGGATTAGTTTATTGAGTCTGTTGGCATCTGCGACCCTCAGCCTGCTCCCCCAGCATGCAACAGCATAGAGGATCGCACTGGCCACAACAGACTCGTAGAAAATCCTCAGCATTTTCTGGCAGAACCCCTATGAAAAGTAACCCCTATGAGCCACAAACTCATAAGACTGCAAACAAACTCTAAGTGTTCTGTACAAAAACCCAGTTATAAAGTACACCAAAAGCTGAAAGCTATGTTTTGTTGTGTTAGCTAAATATTTTGGAAATCACAGTGGTCATTAAAATGTGTTTAGAATTTGCAAATTGATGATGATTTATCTAAAAAAAAAAATCATGTTTTCGCCTACACAAGCTGCCTTTATAGGTTGACGGTATCGGTATTGGAATTGATTAAACTGGTCCTGTGTTTACTCCGTGTCAGAGTGTGAATAGCCTAGTTCAGGCACACTCTGGCTGAGCATAGAAGCCCCACCCATTTGAAAGAAGAGGGGCTTAAAACAGCTTGTTTCAGACAAGCCCGGTAAAAGATGAAGAAGTTTATTTTTTAAAAGCTACTCCTTCAGTATCCAAGAATAAAGCCAAATTGAACTTTAAATAAACATAATACAAAATATAATCTTTAAGAGATTTAGTTAAATTTGCCATTACCTGGCAACTGTATATTTTGAAATGTAGAAGGTTAGGGTCTAGACTTTCATTGGTTGCTACAAAGGTACTTTTTTTCATCTTAGTATATAAGGTTGACTTCAAAGTTTTATAGATTCAGCAGAGTTGAGAAAGGTTCAAATAATTGTTACTTAAATAAGTTCATTTTTTCATTTGCCGTCTTGTTCTTTTGGTCACTACCCACAGTTCTAGCTCAGAGGTGGGGGCAGGAACATAGACTGATTAATAACGATCTCTCCGTGAACTGCCACAGATAACCCAAAGATGAGGGACTAAATGCTTGTTATCTTTTCTAACTTGTTCAATAAATGCATCACATAAAAAAAAAAACTTATGTTGTTAGGTAAGGGTATTAGGTTAAACATGTACTTTCACTCTTGTGCATACCAGCAGATGGCCTTGCAAGGATGGCTGTGACACTTGGGTACAACGTTAAAGTTGGTAGGGGCCGCAGCCCCGCCCCACCTCACCACACACTGACTCACAGAGCACAGAGGAAATGAGTTGAGCAAAAGCCTCTTGACACATCAGAGCAGCTCATTCAGTTGACATGTGTTTCCTATGTGTGTTGTGCGCAGATCCTTAAATAACCCCAGTCACCTGTTCTTAACAACCTTCAAAAGAAAGAAAGTAGACATCATGGGAGCATCTTCCTCTGGCTTGCTGGATGAGGCCAAAATCAGCTACATCAAAGGTAACTAAGAAATCACTTTTCTTTTTCAGAGCAGCTCAGAAAAACTTGAATGTCAGTTTTCTAATCCTAATAAATAGAAGGGAGAGAGTAAAAGTGAAACAGAACCTATAAATGTATGGGCACAATGATAGCAGCTACTTTGGCTTTGTAGTAGTCAAAGTAGTAGCAGTAATAAAAGTGATAGATGTGGTTATTGCAGCCTTTGTTGCAAAAGTAGCAGTGAATGATATAGCTGTATCAATGTAAATTTAAAAATAAACCAAACTGCTACTTTGGTTCAATTGATTTTAGACAGCATAAATATATTTTTATTAGTCTTCTAGTTGCTAACTTTTAGCAAAAGGCTGACAGGAAACCTGGTTAGGGGTGCGGTGTGTTACAAGGGTCCCCAGAATAATGGGTTGACTGGGGAAATTGCGGTTATTTTGGGCTGGGTACCAGCCTTGACCACCAAGCTAAGAGGAAGACCTCAGTGTGACAGTAACCAAGCAAAGGAAATTATGCTTTAAAGTCTAATTAAATTATATCTATTTTAATTAATATTTTAACTTTAATAGAAAAAAGTAACAAAACTGATGTGCTCTGTGAATGTTTTTGCTTATTTCTCCATGTGTACATTCCTATACATGTTATCAGCACAGTCACATCCTGTCACTAATCTCCCTTGCAAACTCAAATGTAATTACAGCTATTTCCAACTATTATATTATTATGGGTTGTCAGATCTCTGTCTATCTATGTGTGTCAGTATGTAAGATGAAAGTCAGGCTGGATAGTGGTCTCATACTGTAAACAAATGATTATGATCAATCTACACTGAAGACACCGGATTAAAAATCCGGAACCACAGTCAAAAGCCACTTACACACCAGCGTACACAAGCAGGACTTTTATTAAATTCGGCCACATGACAAATTATTTCACACCTGCACACTGTGGTATAGTTTATATTTGGCTGAGTTCCTTTGTATATGTGTGAGGTAGTTGATATATCCTCTCACCCTTGTCAGACATGTACATTATTTCTTCAAATATGCCTGTCTTGTTTTACCTCTCCAAGATTACTTACTGTTTATTACTGTGGGGGATTTTCCGCCGCCTGTCCCGTTTGGTTCTTTTGCCATCAGAATTATTGTCTGAAGGCCAAGAAAGATGCCCAACGGATTTACTATACCATGGACCAATACGGCCATACGGCAAAAAATAAAAATAAATAAATAAATGAATAGAGAGAGAGAATCTATAACATTAAATACTAAATATTGAATATTATTGTGCAGCTTTAAGTGTTTTGTTAACTGTGTTAAATTTAAAAAAAAAAATCTCCCTGGAGTCTAGTGCTAGGGCAATTTCTATACCTTACAACTCCAAAAAACTTAGCATTGACAAATTCTTACCTTATAAAAATTAGGACTTTGTTTTTCCTATAGGGGGTTTGGCTCATGTTTAGTGCTGAAAATCCTGCACAGTTGTAAGCTTTTTGCTCAAAACATTAAAAAAAGGTTAGGGATGACTATCAAAACAGTGAGCTGACAGAGATATTGGAGTTATGTCAGCCTGATGTCTTAGTGGTTACACTGCTTTCCCATAAAAGTCACAATGAGAGACTTGCTGGGCTGGATTTAAATGGTGAATCGCCTTGTAACCATTTACAGCCATTCATGCAGTGCTGTGTTCTATGTCTTTAAGTGCTATCTAACTACAATGACATTCTCACCTGTGACTTTTTAACTCACGTAGTTATATTAATAAACAAGCATGCACAACATTATATTTCAACAATATGTATATAACAGTGTGGTGTCTCACTAACTCTTAATGAAATTTAAAATAACACATACATTTGGTCCATGCCTGAATGTCAGACAGACTTTAACATGCTCAACAAGCTAGCTAAGTTATGTAGCCCATATCTGAAGCAGGCTATGAAAGGCATTGGCCTAGCAATTTAAACATTTGTTAGTATAAAAATATTGACAAGTGCAGCTTTAATATGTCAATTTCCATCCTTAAAACTAAATTTACCATTCCCAGTTACTCTGCACTTGCAATGGTTTCCTTCAGTGAAGGGTATGTATAAGTTCAAACACTCGTTTTGAAATTAGTTTTTAATATCATGGAGTTTTTAATATCTGTGTAACAATGCACAGAGAGAGGAAAACTATGCTGATTACTGGTGTAAAAGAATACACATGTAAATATGTGTCATTATGAAAAAAATTGTTCTAAACAAGTTTGAGTAACATCAAACACAATAATAATCCCAACAACAAGCTGTGTTTCTGTGTGCATCCAGGACTGGTTGATGGTACATTCCAGAGCTTCAGTGACTTTTACCGTCAACAGTACTCTGTAGCCTACCTTGGACACTTACACCAGGAGGTGGAGCCTAAGAGAGAGGGGAGGGGGTTATTGCTTACACGGAGGGTAAGAGTTAAATCCTTTCAAACTCAATTCGACTACATATATATTTACGCATGTTGATGCAGCTGGAAAATTGGTATAAATTTCTAATTATGTTAAAGTTTAACCTGTGTGTGTGTGTGTGTGTGTGTGTGTGTGTGTGTGTGTGTGTGTGTGTGTGCACATGCACTGTACAGCCTCAGTATTCTCCTGAGGAGGTGCTGTATGAAGGGAGCATTAAGTTCTCCAACTGGGATGAGCAGCTAAAGAAATGCAGAGAGAGATACATAATTCTGCGAAGAGACTACAAAGCAGAGATACATGACAGCATGGAGGTAACACACAGATTAATACGCTCACACACAGCCCGTGAAATTTGTAGTCTAAATGATTTGCATCCTGTGATGAACATTGCTATCTGTGATTCCAATTTTTAGACTTTCAACCGTGGATGTGTGGCTAAGATGGTCCTCCAGCTAACGGGAGCAATTGTGTTCACCAATGATGACGAATCAAGAGCTCACCTTGAGAAAACCTGTGCCGGAATACTGAATGGTATTTTAGATGTGCAACAGCATGACTGATACTACTCATAGTTTGTCTTCCCAGTGAAGATATGATCTGCTTTAACTCAGCATCTCTGAAGTCAGTTAATGAAAATGAAAAGACTGTCAGCAGGAAAATGCTCCATGATGAGGGTATGAGTACAGCAAACTGAGTAACACTACAAACTTAATCATTTTAGTACAGATAATTATTTATATATGTAGAACACGTCACACAAGGCAACAACTTAATAACAAGCAGGTTTTAATAAAGAAGTGGAACCTTCAGGGTTTTCCGCTGGATTTAACAAATTCCTGACCGTTCAAAACATATTTGAATTTTAGCAAGCTGTGATAAAAGGCGGAAAACACAGCAGCCATTAGGATGATTACCATTCCGTGATGCTGACCGCTTGTGTTTGTGAATGTCTAACACTGTGCCACATTGACTTATGGTATAGCATTTTCTTCTTTCCTTTCATAAAGGATCCGCCAGTGCAGTCCGTCATTTGTATTAGAGCCTAGATTGTACTAAATTCTTCTAGAGGGAGAGAGATATTTTGAAAATGGAAACAGGAAACATCGAGGAAAGTAAGATATACAGTGATACACGCTATCTATCAACTGTTCGAAACCACTTGTAAATGTCCTTGTTTTTTGTGTTTTTTAAAGAACATTTAAATAAAAAAAAGTTATAATATTGTAAATGAAATTTACAATAATGAGGTGTCTGAAAAATCAGATTGTGTTGACCCGTTTAAGTGTCAAACACAAGATTTTATACAAGAGTGTGTACTACTCCTCTCACATAACAGGACAATTTGATCAAAATAGAAGAAAATGTGGAAAGTTGCTAAAGATGATGAAGCTCAACAGAATCTCTAATGAACCTCAAATTCACATGTTCAGGCTGGGTCATGTTCAGGCTGGGTTGCAATTTGATTTCATAGCAATCTGTCAAATCAAATACCATGATTCATCATTATTAAGTAAAAAAAGGTCACCAGTATCTATGAAGATGTCCAGTATCTGATAGATTCGATTTTAGTCACTTAATTACATGATAGATAATTTACTAAACAGTCAGAGGCTATGAGTGTAACATAAACAAAAGCTTCTTTGTTGGACACAAATTAATAGTGAAGTAATTTTGTTGTATTTGTGTTTCCAGGAGTAAAGGAGGACTCTTCTTCTGCAGTCGTTAATCCAGATGCATTTGCTGTGCATCTCCACTTGGCTTACACTGGCCACACCTGCTTCCTGTTTCAACAAGAGGAGGAGCGAGATCACTTCCTGTCTGGCCTGAAGACCTGTATTAGACATCGCAACCTTGGTAAACACTCATATGTATGCTTTTGCCGTGGCCCACTTAGCCTTGCTTCAGATGTGCAGGGTAATAACACAAAATAAAGACAAAACAATGTCAAATGCCTGCTTGCACAATCACTGCAAGCTAAGAAGTTCCCTAAGCAGTCAAAGCCATCACACATGTAGATAATTTTAAAAGATGAATCGCTGGCTTTCAAATTATTTGAAATATCCTATTTGTTTTTAAAAAATGACCAGACCCATCAGTTTCCCCACTTTTTCTCCCCAAAGGTCTTTAAAAGGTCTTTATATGTTGGTATGACCAAGTGCAATTTATCTATGTGCATGACTTCTAATTTCTGAGGATGTCCTAGTTCAGAATTATCCAGAAATATAGAAAATCTTAAAGGGTTCGCAGCATTTGAACAACTGAGTATTGTTTAACCTTTTTTGGCCACAGTAGCGGTTTTTCCTGCCAACCTTTAATAGTCAAATAAAAAGAAGATGACAACATTTTACAAGAGTACTTCAATAAAGGTAATACTAAATCTTGGTAAAGATGAAAGTTATATACAAAAACTTAGCTCTTAATAGAGATCCCAAGGTGAACATTTTCTTGCAGTGGGGAGAAAGATTTTAAAGATGCTTAAGAGTAAACGATAAGATGTTTCTGCTGGTTTTCTGGAGCACATCAGCAGGTGTATTAAAATATATTTTTCATAAAAAAATATTGATTTTTTACAAAGTTTAACTGTCTCATATTATGACATAGTTTGTCACATCTCAAAGGCCTGAAGGAGTATCATATCAAATAGTACTGCATCAGGCATGTGTAGGTCTGTGTTTTCAGATATCTGACTTCCATATTTATTCATCAGAGATGTTAACAACATTGTAGTATTCATATTTCTCACCAGAGCAAATCTGTGTCTGAGTCTATCCATGCTATTGTCCATTACAAGACTGCATTTGTTCATGTGTTTTCATATCAAATGAAAACAGTTTTACAAAGTATGCATCATTCTAACTACTACAAGGTCAACAACAAGTTTGGGTCCATTTCTTGCTCAGTAGCTCTGAATTTTTCTAACTCTCTCCTAAGCTGGTAGTCCTTGCTAATATTTTTGAGCTAAGAGCTCAAAAGGATTCTCAATATTTTGAAATGATGTGCAGCGCTACATGCTGTTGATTAAATCCAAATAGTTTTTACAGTTGTCTAATATCAGATGTGAGTGTAAAATATTTCAAATTGTTGTAGCAGAGTCCTGCTTCTGGTTGGCTCGTCTTTAGTTTGTCATTCATGTTGTGACAGTTGCCCGGGTGACAGATATAAATATTAATGCTGCTGACTTCCTGTGTGGTTAGCTAGGATACAAACCAAAAAACAAACCCCTTCACTTTAAGCAATAAGGTTGCAAAAACACAGCACAGCAAGATATCCTCAGCAGGAAATAGCACACAGATGGCCGCCACTGACTATTTCACTTTAGATGTGTAAAGCCACAGCACTTACAGTGATGTTGATTTTATTCATCTCAAAGTGATATATCAACCTCTTCTTCCAATAACCATATCTCTTCATTTAAACACTTCCTTGGAATTTTAAGTCTTTGACTTTTTTAAACATTTAATGATGTTCTGGTGTCCCTTCAAAAAAAAAAAGCTAGCCTACCTGAAGTACTTCTGCCCCCACTGTAAACTTGTATGATATATAACACATAATGTTAATTTTAGATTATTGCAATCTGCCAGTTGTGGTCAGATGTTTACATAAACTCATGAATGCCATGAATAGGCATGAATATCTTGTTAATTTAGGGGTTTTTAATTATTATTTTTCATTTAAGTTACGAATTTGCATTTTCTCTAATCCACACAGGATCATACAGGCTGAAACACACATATATGCACTCATATCCTTATAAATAAAACACAACTTAAACAGGTAGTTGTTGACAGGCTTCTGGCAAATTCTGGTTGGATATTTGACCACTCATCTTGGCAGAATTAGAAGACTTAATTTAAATTGGTATGGTAACAATATTAAACAATAGCCTGTCTAGTTTTTACCCTGCCCTTCACATCATGGTAGCTAGGATAAGGCTTTTAGAGGAGTGGAGAATTTTTTTGGCCAGGTTTGCAAATTAAATTAAGAGAGTTTAAAAGTATCATGTGGAGGGTATTTACAGATGTCTAAATATTGGACTTTAAAAAAGAAATTTTGCAATCATTATTGGAGATTGTTTGGATAGCTATTATTTTTAGTGTTTGTGCATACAAACTAGGTTTTACATAGTCTTTTCTAAAATTAGAAAACCTCTCAGTAGCTGCAGTGAGAAAAAATGCACACTGTTTTGTGAATTTAGCAATGACACAGATGGAGACTTGGTATGTTAGTCAGGGCAAATTCAGGGGTGATAGGTAGTGATGGGACTACAGCTTTTAGTTAGCTCATTTGAAACGGTCTACTTACCACAGAACTATTTCTATCCATCCATCCATCCATCCAAACCAACTGAGCGAGTCCTTGGGTCTACCTCCTTGCGGTAGGACATTTCGGGAATACCTCACCTAGGAGGTGTCCGGGAGGCATTCTAGTCAGATGCTCGAACCACCTCAAATGGCTCTTTCTGATGTGGACGAGCAGTGGCTCTACTTCAAGTCCCTGGTTGGGTTTTCCACGCATTGAAGAAAACTCATTTCTGCCACTTGTATATTTAACCTCATTCTTTCAGTCACTACCCAGAGCTCGTGACCATAGGTGAAGGCTGGAGCGTAGGATTGATGGCTTTGCTTTTATGCTCACCTCTGTCTTCAATTCAATTAGATTTAATTATATTTCAATTTAAACAAATCACAAACAATAGGTGCAAAAAATCACTCAGTGGGTTGAGGAGTATAAAAAAAAACATGCATCATATTCTATTCAATTCAATTCAATTCAATTCAATCTATATAGTTCCACAACAGAAAAACCCAACAAGAATCATACGATCCCTAATGAGCAAGTGCTTCAGCAACAGTGGGAAGAAAAAACTCTTGGAACAGAAAGAAACCTCCAGCGGAACCAGACTCGGAGAGCGGTGGCTGGCTGGGGGTGTAGAGGGGAAGGCAGGACAAAGACAAGCTATGGAAAAGAGCCAGACAGGGTTTTCGGAACAAACTGTTAAATGTTCAGTTTCTATGCCATATGTCATAACAAGATCTAGAATGTCATTAAAGTGGAGGGTGGGTTGTTTTATATGCTGTCATTTTTAGTATCTACATGGATGTTAAAATCACCCACAACAATTATTTTATCTGAGCTGAGCACATAATTTAGATAAAAAGTCTGAGAAATCGTTCAGAAACTCTTAGTAAGGCCCAGGTGGATGACAGATAACAACAAATAAAACTGGTTCTTGCTATTTCCAGCTAAGGCTAAGAACCAGGCTTTCAAATTAATTAAAACTCTGTCTGGGTGTTTGGTTAATTAACAAGTTGGAGTGGAAGAGTTTTTGGACACCACTCAGACTCAGACAGACAGGGTTTTCAAACAGGGTGCTAAACGGGGTCTCCAATTCAGTGATCCTGGCCTCCAGAGCTGCAAATAGGCATTTAATTACAAGTATCATTGTTACTAAAGTAGGCCAAGGAGTAAGTAAACATCTGACACAATGAGCAGGAAAGTGCAGGTGGAACAGGTGAAAAGACCATGCTGCTAGAGAGTCTGCTATGAGTTAATCTAAGCGAATCCCTAGAGACACATTTAGTGAATACTGTCAATATAATTAGCAGATCAATCAACAGAGAATGTACTTTGTATAAAGTATGTGAAGACTATACTTTGAGATAAGATGTTGTCTATATGTTTTTAAGTAAAATCTATGCTATCTAATCAAAACTATATCTTCAGTTGATGTCAGCAGCATCCCATGTGTAAAATGCCTCTTCCTCTCCTGAAATATCTGATGGTTTACCAGAATCGCTTTGAGGCTGACCAAAAGTCAAATAGGAAATGCCGCATGCTGTTTTTTTTTAAAATTTATTTCTTTTTAATTTTTAGCAGGATATGATTCATGACTTTCTGTTCCTTAAACTTCTGCAGAAAAAAAAATCTGAAACAGCTCAAGGGAAACTACACTACAAGACATGATGTTTTTTAGTGAATTAGCAAAAGAAAAAAAAAAAGAACAAAAAAAATTTGAGATGTGAAAATGTTTAGATGTGTTGTAATGAGAATGGAATATTGATGTCAGGGATCCACCGAGGATACAGGATCAGCACAATTTCTACCAAACTAAAATGACTAATGACAAAATACTAAGAATTAAGTATTTTAATACTTACCACACTTGTAGATCATTTTAAGCCATGGGTGTTCTAATAAGAATGGGATACTGATTTCAACTTTCAAAAATAAAGGGACAGGATGAGCATGCCACCAGATTCTTTCAGAATAATAACAAAATCCCTACTTCCTGCAGACCCGTGGTGTAATTCATCATATGAGAGTCAAGCATATGCACGAGCCTTCCGACTCTACCGACAAGAGAAAGGATGCTATGAATCCTGGGAAATGCTGCTGGGCACTGAGGAACAAGTTTGTACACACACACAACTTTAAGCCTGTCTGTGTTCTTCATTTCACTTTAGTTCAATTTATTTTTATAGTGCTAAATCACATTAATAGTTATTTCATGGCACTTTTTTTTATAAAGACCCTACAATAACATGCAAGAATGAGAAAACTCCAACAATCAGATGTCCCACTACGAGCAAGCATTTGGTGACAGTTGGAAGGAAAAACTCCCTGAACCAGGCACAAGGAGGGAAAACCTCCTTGTGCTGCAACTAGTTAGTGTAGGGAAGGGAGACAGCAGAAAAGACAAACTGTGGGAAAAAGACAGAGATTAGCAATAATTTATGATTAAATGCAAAGTGTTGTAAAAACAAAGCCATAAACAGTGTGCTTGCGTATGTAGGTGCTAGCCTCCCAGGTGATGGAGGAAGTGTTGCCATGGTTACACAGTCAGCTTCAGTCCAGGATAAAAGGCAAGAAGACTGAAAAGATACGGCAATGGCTCGCAGTAAGTAAAAATATTACACCAAGTCTCTGCAAATTCTGAGTCTATCTATTTATGAAATGTTCCTGTTCAGGATTGTTTTAGTACTATGTCAACTATGTCACTCGTTTAGCATGTATGTGTAGCATTTAGCAATATTCTAACTAACACTACTGAATGGTACGGTAAAAAATGATCAAAGCATTAAGCAACATTCACAGGAATTATCATCTAATCAAGCAGTTCTGAGCAGCTTGCGAACATATGAGGTAATGAGCTGCTTTGCAAGATGTGTTTAACAACATATTTATATTTAGCAATACATAGGGGTATTTCTTTTACTACACTTTTTCTCCATGGCCATTAATGCAATCTAGAACAATGTTCAAAAATGTAAACAAATATTTATATAGCTGTCTAAAGATAATGTAATGTGTCATTGGCATATTTAAATATAAACCTTGTATTACAAAAGTCCCTATTGTAATCAACTGGGGATCTTAAGCAAAAGTTCCTTGTTATGCTGCCCCCACGTGGCCAAAAAATAGCATTTTTTAAAGTGAACTTCAAGACTTTTTCTTTCTTTCGAACTGATATAATCTGATACCATACCAATCTGATTTTCTCAGAATGCTACCTAACTTATCAGAATTAAGGGAATTATCTGACAGCAAGTACCTTTGAACTACAACACTATTATCTTTTACCCCGTGTTCCAACAAATTGTGTGTGGCAGTTTTAGCATCAGTTTTTAATCTCTCTGTTGCACAGTATATTAATTTGTTCGTATGTATAGACAGTGCAAGCAACCCACACGTTGGTGCTGGAAAAGCTGACTGCAGGTCTGGAGGCTCTGAAGAAGGAGTGCCGTGAGACAGCATCAGACAATCAGGCGCTCATCAGATCCAATCTGGACCAGATAATGTCCTCTCACTTGTTCCTGGAGCAAAAAGTCAGAGGTACACATTGTTTGACTAATCTCATCTGAAAATGCCTAGAAAATGAGTGACTGTTTTTAATGGCTAAACTCAGCTAAATCCATATTAAGCTACAAACTGAGCATCCAGCCATGGTTCAGCTTTTGTGCACATTTTGTGAATCTGTATCTGTTTCAGCATGTGTATGTGAAGAGGCAGAGAAAGTGTGCAGTGAGTCTGTAGCACCCTACATGTCCTCTATCCTTGAAGCACTTACCGAGAACATAAGCGGAGGTATTCTTGGGATGCAGCGCACACTGAAAACACAGATGGATTCGGCCTTTTTACACAGAAACGAAGGGACAGAGGAGACAAAGAAGGTGAGAGAGGACTTTGGGTGAGTTCCAGTAGTCCATTTTACTTAGGAAGGTTTCTAACTGAGAGACATTACCCTAAAGTATTTGTGTGGCAGCCAAAATAAGAGCTGTTCCAATTCTCCAAATACTGAAGAAAGAAGTTTGAATGCTGCCTTTATCGTTTCCTTTAGCAAAGGATACAGTGCACCATCCTTTATGAAAACGGAGGTGAAAACACTCCCATAATTTACTACAATGGACTATCTGACAATTATGAACACAGCCAACATAAGTGGAGCAGATCATGTAAATGTTATTTGTACAGTAGCTGCATTTTCCATTTCATTCCAAACCTCTTGATATATTTACAATTTTTACCAACAGTTTGTTAAGCTCAGAGCTGAATATCACCAGGAGCCTCTAAACACTCAATGTGAAAACTGAGTGAAGAGTTTTAGGTTTTAGCAGTAACAAGAGCAATAGCAACTTTGAGCCATCCATGCAAAGTGCAGATTACGAATTCATTCTGATAACATCACCCCTTCTAAAAGTAAACTCTCCTAGTAGCAACTATCACAACCACAATGGGCATAAGACATGATTTTATGGTTTGTTTGTTTGGTTTTTTTTGCATTAGATTTCATGCAAGATGTTAGTAAATCTGGACATAAATGTTCCTTCTTCTTTAAAGTGCCAGCCTTTGTAATGAAGGGATATTTTTCACAGGCTGTTCTCATTTACATAATCTCCATAAAACAGAACACAGTGTGGCATTTTGTACTCCATCTTCCTCATATTGTAGTTTCAACACAGCTGGGACATTTTCATTAAGGTTAGACTTTTGGAAGGCACCCCTTGTGCCAATTTTTGTGCCATCTTGAAGAGGGTCTCATTTGAAATCAAGAAACACAAGATGTTTGAAGTTGAAGATGTTTGAAGTTTTTGCTTGCCCAAATTTTCAAAAGTGCTGACAGAAAGCATTTGCTCTATTTCTTTTAGGCCTTGTCCAGTCTACGATCAATGCGTCTAGATCAGTGCTACAAGCAGGTGGAGAACCTGACAGAGAAACTCGAAGCCTTAAAAGAGCGATTTGGATTGAGCAGCATTCATAGACTGGTTCACTATGCAAGTCTGGAGATGGAGCTGGTATGAAGCACAATCTTCAGTATAGACGTGGCCTCTCAAGGAGCCTAAAAGTAGAAAAGATTGACGTGAGCTGTTTTTTAGTGTTTGCTGTGTGTGTGTTACAGTTGCTGGACAGTGCTGTCTACACCTTGGAACAGTTCCTCCAGTCATCAGCCAGACTGCAGCCCACTCAGGTTCCTGTTAAGTTGAACAGGGCTACAGAAAGAGTGCTGAAGGTTAATTATTTTTAATTAAATTTTTATTTAATAAAAAATTTATCATGTGTGATCAGAAGATATCTGAAGGAACTGTATAGACCGTGTATTTTAGAAATCCAAATAAATGAAAGATATGTGATTTTCATAAAATAAGGAATAAATATGCTTAGATACACCATTAAAAAGTTACACACTGAAACAAAATGATGTGTGCATTCTAGTGGGAACCCTGGACTCTGGTCCCAAACCCTAAAAACATGTCTTTGTAGCTGGTGTAGTGCGCAGCTTGTTAAACCTGGAAAGCCCTGAGAGACTATTTGAAATCTACAAAGAAAAAGTATTTGTGTCACTGGCAACTTGTGTTTTTATGTGGGTCAGTTGCAAATTGACACACTACAAGTTCAATTCCGGATTCAGACAGCAAAGTAAACTAACCTGTCACAGTGATAAGTAACTTGTTCCTGTTTTCTAGTGTGCCCCACAAATACAATACAATCTTTGCTCAAAAGTGAGTATTACAAAAAATCTTGCTTGTGTGTGTGAGTAGCAGCTGGACTATGACAGCAGGGTAGTCCAGAGGAGGCTGTACGAGGAAGCCCTGCTGGAGATCACTCTGCCTACTCTCACCAGGAAGATGGACAGCAAGTGGAAAACTGTAGGTCAACCTGCTGCTACTTCACTCTGTCTGACTCTATCGTGTGTTATTGATATTTTATATTCTACAAAGCATGGACTGTCTGGTTTTCTGTGTCCAGGAGCTGCAACAGTTTGAGCAGTACATTTTCGCTGACTACAGCAGTTTTATCCTGGTTCATAACATTTACGATGATGTTCTGAAAACCATTCTCAGCAAGCAGATAGAGACAGGTAAATATTGATCTTGATATTGATCTTTGTTCGTGCATTGGTATAGTTTCTTGTTTCTTCTTGTTTCTGGTATTCTCTCCTAGGCTACAAGGAGACAGGTTACAAATTAAACGAAAATCCTGGATTCATTTTATTTACATGGTTTTACCTCAGAGAGAAGCATCATTGTGAATCTATAAATTGTAAGGATTTGGTCACTTTTACCCTGTCATGAAGCATCTTCAACCTATTCTTGGATGACTGTGCATCCAAGCCCATTCATCAGGCACAGAGACCACTCATTTTCTGCTTCTAATTCAAACTGAGGTTATTGTACACAGCCCAGAAAACCTTAGAAATATGGTATCTAACCAGATTCTTGCTCTGGATGGCTTTACCTTGGCCTCCAGTAACACTGTGAGGAACCTTGGAGTCATTGTTGACCAGGATATGTCCTTCAAAGCACATATTAAACAAATATGTAGGACTGCTTTCTTCCATTTGCTCAATATCTCCACAATTAGAAATATTCTGTCTCAGAGTGACGCTGAAAAACTAGTTCATGCATTTATTACTTCTAGGTTGGACTATTGTAATTCATTATTATGAGGATGTCCTAAAAACTCCCTGAAAAGCCTTCAGTCGATCCAAAATGCTGCAGCAAGAGTACTGACAGGGACTAGAAAGAGAGCAGATTTCTCCGATATTGGCTTCGCTTCATTGGCTCCCTGTTAAATCCAGAATTAAATTTGAAATCCTGCCCCTCACATACAAGGCCCCATCTTATCTTAATGACCTTATAGTACCATATCATCCTTTTAGAGCACTTCGCTCTTGCACTGCAAACTTACTTGTGGTTCCTAGAGGATCTAAAAATAGTAAAAAAGTAGTACATCGTACTTGTATGATTAGGCTTAAAACCTTCTGTAACAAACCACGGCAGACACTGCAGACCTGGTAACATTTTTATGCTCTTAAGCATCCTTTATTAACTCTCACACATTGCTATTCACACCACAGCTGGCGCTAACCCGCTGCCAGCTCAACATACCAACAACAACAACAACCACACTCAGGACCCAGTAGTATTTAAGCAGGGTGGTGTGATGACCCGATGCAGCTCCAGTGTGTTGGCTTCTCCTCCAGCTGCGCCACAACCACGCCTGCCACACTTTCCCTTTTCTAAAGCGTATAGTTAGACAGTAATCAGGTGACCCTGAATCCTCCCTTAGTTATGCTGCAATAGATGTAGGCTGCTGGGGGATTCCCATGATGCACTGAGTATTTCTTCTTCACTCACTATGTGTTAATAGACCTCTCTGTATTGAATCATACTTGTTATTAATCTCTGGCTCTCTTCACAACACGTCTTTTATCCTGTCCTCCTTCTCTCGCCCCAACCAGTTGGCAGATGGCCACCCCCTTCCCTGAGCCTGGTTCTGCTGGAGGTTTCTTCCTGTTTAAAGGGAGTTTTCCTTCCCACTGTCGCCCAAGCGCTTGCTCATAGGGGGTCATATGACTGTTGGTTTTTTCTCTGTATTTATTATTGTTTATATATATCTTACAATTTGAGTGGTTTGGAAAAACGTGCTTCATATCTAATTCCATTCAATTTAGTTCAATTTTATTTATATAGCACTGAATCACAACAACAGTTGCCTCAAGGTGCTTTATATTGTATAGTAAAGTAAAGTAAAGTAATGTAAAGACTTAATAATACAGAGAATCCCAACAAAAATCATATTACCCCCCCCATGAGCAAGCGCTTTGGTGACAGTGGGAAGGAAAAACAGCAGAATCAAACTCACTGAGGAGCAGCCATTTGCTGCGACCGGGTGGGGGTGTGGGGAGGAAGTCAGAAAGAGACCCAGAGATTAATTATGACTAATATTTGAATGCAGAAACCTGTATAAAGACATAGTGAGAGAAAAAGGTTAGTGAAGAATAAACACTCTCCCCAGTGCATCAAGGGAAGCCCCCTCCCGCAGCTTAGACCTAAGCCCGATCTTTACAAGAGGGTGTCTGTCTCTCCAATCCAAACTGGAAGCTGGTTCCATAGAAGAGGGGCCCAAAAGCTGAAGGCTCTCGCTCCCATTTTACTTTTAAACACCCTAGGAATCACAATTAAGCCAGCAGTCTGAGAACAAAGTGCTCTGTTGGTGTGATACAATACTATGAGGTTTTTAAGATAAGATGGGGCCGGTTATTCAAGACCTTTTACGTGATAATAAGGTTTTTAAATTAAATTCTGGATTTAACAGGGAGCCATTGAACATCCAGGATGAGAGAAATATGCTCTTTCTTTGTAGTCCCTGTCAGTACTCCTGCGGCAGCATTTTGGATTGACTGAAGGCTTTTCAAGGTGTTTTTAGGACAGCCTGACAATAATGAATTTTCTACCCCGTGTAGAAAATTCCTGTGTAAAAAAAAAAAAAAAAGGGGGTTCTGAAAACCTGGACATCCATTAGGCAGCTGACAGAAGGAAGTGCTCTGTCCTATAATGAAACCTGTGACAAATACTGAATATGAACTGGAACTGTTTGGAACTGTTTGGAACTGTTTGGTCCAAACATAAATTCTGATTTTGTCTCTTCCTCATTATCAGCTGTCCAGGATGCAGCTAGTAAGAAGAGCAACAATCTCCTGTTGGACACTTCAGATCTTGCAATTAGTCAGTACAGTTTGCTGGGACAGACGCCTCCAAACTCTGCACCAGACAGCCCATCCGTTCATGCCCGACAGTCCTCCTCAGGCATGCCCACTGATGATCAAGAAACTATTTCTGCAGTGGAAGAAAAAAGTCAGACAGTTGATGTTTGTCCCCAGAGCAAGACAGAAGGTAACACTGATAGTGAATGTGACCAGACACATGTCTCTGACCAGAGCACAGTGCTTCTTTCTCCAGTCATTATCGTGACACAACAGTTGGGTGAAACTGGCAGCAAAGAGGACCTGTTCCTGAAGGAAACCATAGAAGTTCAGATCACAACTGATGCAGCAACAGAGCCAACAATAGCAAACAGATCAGACACAAACGCAAATGTTACATATGAAGTCAATGCACCCAAGTTATCTGCTGAACAAGGACCGACCATCCCAGACTCTCTGGAGTCGTCCCCTCTGGTCTCACCTCAGACAACAGAGATCCAAGTTCAAAGTGAACCTGCTATGCCTGACCTTTCAGTCTCAAATCAGCCATCAGAAGAGGATTCTTCCATCCAGCCTGCCTTACCATCACACCCACCTGATGCAGATAGTCCAGTAAAAATCAGCCTCGGATCACTAAGTGAGGCAATTGCTTGCAGTTCCTCAGAACCTTCTGTTATGCCAATGATGGGACAGCAGACCACTGACAGAGCAGTCTATTTGACAGGAGAACTTAAAGACAATTGGGAGGTGGAGAGAGTAAAAGAGGAGAAACACAAAGATGAAGCAGAAATTGAGGGGCATGAGACAATTCAAGCACAGGAAGAACAGAGAGAGAAAGAAGAGGTAACAGAGGAAGAAACAGGTGAGGGGCAGATGGAGATCCAAACAGGAGGTGAGCCTGCTGATGACAGCTCATCTGGATCACCAGTGGAGACCGCCACTGCCTTAAACACAGAGCAGAAAAAGAATAAAGAGATGATGGAGGAAGAAGTGCCAAGCAGTGAACTCAGGATTGAAAATAAAAAGGATGAAGATGAAGCAGTCACAGAGAAAGGAGATTCTACAGAAGAAAAAAAAGAAGAGGATAAACCAGTGGAGAGTGCTAATGAGCTACCATCGGACAGCGTGGCTTGCATCAGAGAACTTGTGGTTGAGATTATTGAGATAGAAACAACAGTCTCCCCTGTTGCTGACAGCAGCAACAATCTCTGAAACAAGCATTAAAACAGCAAGAGCAGGTCCAGGCCAATGATTCCCAACCAGATACAAGTCACTTCAATAAGCCTTACATTTTCTAATTATTCCAGACAGAAATTTGTGCTGATTTAATTAATGTGCCATGTTTTCATACAACAGTAAACTGAAAAACGGAATAGTTTGTCATTCTATTGTAACTCTTTTGTTGCTTTTTTTGATTATATATTTTCTATAACAATTGCATTGAATCATCCAAATAAAGATGTTAAACTTGTGATTTTTTTCTTTTTTAAAAAGTCGCTTTAACATAAAATAAAATTAACTTAATCAGGAACGTTGTGCAAGGTAATTAAGTTTTAAATGATATTTTATAAATAACTAATTAAATGTATGTATTCATTTTATTTTTCTGAAATATAAGTGTAAAAAGGAGCACTATATTTCATAAATATATAGTACCAACAACAGTCGCCTCAAGGTACTTTGACACTAACAGTAATAGGCTTATAACATATCGCAAATATATTGTGGGCCTAAACCATTCGGTACTTTGTAAACCTACAGGAATATTCTAAAGTCTAGCCACTGGAAAGTCAAACTGCCCCAAACAGACATTCCTGTTGACAAAACAGGGAAAGAGTTTGTGTATTTTCACGCTTACATATTGGGATGCTGAACATGACTGTTACTGGAAGATTGCTTGTACAACTTGTTATAATTTATCTTGCTAATTAAGTCCATCCATCCATCTTCTTCCGCTTATCTGGAGCCGGGTTGGGGGGTCAGCAGCCTAAGCAGAGAAGCCCAGACCTCCCTCTCCCCAGCCACCTCCTCCAGCTTGTCCAGGGGAACACCAAGATATAATCTCTCCATCGTGTCCTGGGTCTGCCCGGGGCCGCCTCCTGGTGGTTACATGCCCAGAACACCTCACCCAGGAGATGCCCATGGAGGTATCATTGTCAGATGCCTGAACCACCTCAACTGGCTCCTTTTGATGTGGAGGAGCATTGGCTCTACTCTCCCCTCCTGGTTCAGCCCCTCCCGGATGGCTGAACCTCTCACCATGTCTCTAAGGGAGAAGCCAGCTGATAGGTTTATGCTACAAACCTATTTGCTGGAACGTTCAAGACAATTTACTACACAGCAAAAAGCAAGACACAAGTAGGCAAAGTTCTTTGTGTTACTCATGTATGAGGGAGACCTGCCTGGAGCCAAGTGTCGTTCCACCCACTTGACCTCCGTCAGACTCTCAGCCAGGTTCCCCATAGCACTCCTTTTATTGTGGTTACATGAATATGCATAGGTTCATTAACATATGACGTTTCATATAGGTATACATGTGGACAAAGAATACCTTGTCTGTGTGTGTGTGTGTGTGTGGTCAAGATGTGACCCCGTGAAGACTCCCCAAAGCTGGTGCCAGGAGTCTAGCGGTACATCTGAACAAAAGGCCCTTACACTCAGCCAGATATACGTGTGTTTGCTATACCATATATCAGCAAGAGAAAATACGACCTCTCCTAGGAGGTGTGTGATCTATGCCAGAACACTCTGAAGAAGAGTGAACGCACTCCCCTCTTCATGCTACACAGAGTTGTTACAGACCTCCTAGGATGAGACATTCTTTCAATCTACAAATGATTATATACTTCTAAGTGTAGCCAGATGGGCTATTCGCCTTTCTTTTTCTCTCTCACTCTCTCTCCTGCGCTCGCTCGTTCTCTTCGCTGCGCAACTAGGTTAATTGGGAACCCACCTGCATATTGATTGCAGGGTGGCGCTAGCCCGTATAAAGCTATAAGCCGGTGTTTTTCTGGATCATTCATCCCGTGCATTCGGCGCAAAGCAGCAGTAAATGCTGGCACACTGCGACGGACTGATCAGCAAGAGTAGATCATATGACAGCTACAGGTATGCTCTCGCTTAACCTCAGATTCCCTCCGAGTACTGGAATTTGTGTTAATTTAGTTTTTGCGGCCTGTTGTAGCGCGGCAGTTTGTTTTATTCCGACGTTGCGGAGAGAGGTGCTCGTGTTATCCCCACCAGTGAGAGTATAGCGCCTCCGGTCCGGGGGTAAGCCGTTAAAATTACTTTTATTAGCATTTATAGCTATAAGAGTCTACTGTTGTTTTAGGGTTTGATTGCTGTATTCACCTCTCCGTGGCAAATCGCCCAACCTAAATCGGAAGAGTGAAACGCCTTCCCAGCCGCTGTTGTGAGGACTCCTCCTAGGTGGAGCCTGCTGTCTTGTCTCGTCTTATCTTGTTTTTATTAAGTAGGCTTACCTTTTTCTGGTTCACCTGGTTTTATTCTATTTTATTCTGGACTGTTGCTTGTACCCACGCTTCTGTGATCGGGCTGAAGCGACCCTCTGCCCGAGTGTCGTGCTGAGACTTTAAATCGCCTCGGTTGCAGGTGTTGTGCCAAAAAGTGATTGTCTGCCAAAAACTGATTTCTACGGTGGCCCTGAGAGGCCAAAAGCGCTGCAAAAAGAAAAACACTTGCAAAAAC